CCTAAAGAGCCTAACTAAGCAATTTACTACATCCAAAACAGTCTCTCTCAATCAATCATAGAATATCAGGGTTGGAAGGGGCCTCAGGAGGTCATCTAGTCCAACCCCCTGCTCAAAGGAGGACCAATCCCCAGACAAATTTTTGCCCCAGATCCCTCAATGGCCCTCTCAAGGATTGAACTCACAACCCTGGGTTTAGCAGGCCAATGCTCAAACCACTGAGCTATCCCTCACCCACATTTATAAGCATTTGATCATTTATAAACCCTGGATTTAGTATCTCCACCCCTTAGGCTGGGGGAGGGGCCTTCAGACATGGCCAGGCTTACACCTGCCCACTTATCTGGAACTGAATAGGTAGCTAGCTTCTGTGAATCCAATTTTTAGGCACCTAACTCTCCCCATGCATTGTATAGGGAGCCTGGGTTCCTAACTTGGGTTATGAATTCCACCTGGCATCAGGGCACCTAAAAGATAGGCTGAGCATTGCTGTGCTTAAGTCCCCTTTGTGAATTCTACTCTAGGCATCTACCTTCATCTTTAGGCATCTAAATACCTTCACAAATCTGGCCCATGGTAACTACTTCAGTGACAGTTCCATTACAGTTAATGAAATGGGAGCAAACATCTCCCCCAAGTTTCTAAATCCCTCAGCATTAAGGAGGTATGGCCATTTGTCTGATACAAGGGATACTTCAGTGCTAAAGACTGTGCCACTATCACACTAGTTCAGAAAAGCCATTTTAAAGGATTTAGCCCATTTAGGCTGGTCTAAGAGTGAGAATCTTTAAAAGTAATTTTATAAAGCAGAAACAAGGTGAAACTAAGTGGTTTGGACTGAACCCGAGAATATTTGCATGGAGCTTTGGGAAGAGCAGCAACAGTTTTTCATAGCGCTAATAATAGCAGTTCTCTCCCTACTGAGTGTCTCCTGCTGACAGCTGCTATGCCTCTGCAGTCACCTGCCTCATCCTATGACTTGACCCTCCAGCCAGGTTACTTTAAAGTCTTTCCTCTTCCAGGGTAGTCCATGAACAAAAAGCAAGGATAATTAATGCAAATAAACTGAGTTAATAAGAAATAGAGGAGAATGATTCCTCCTCAGTGCATCAGAATCTGGCTGACCCACCCTTTCTCCCCTCAGGGAGGGGCCTTCAGGCAGGGGTCATCTGGGAAACTCTTACTTTCAATCAGCCCTTGTCTCAGGAGCTGAAGTTGTGGTCTCTTTACTCATCTGCCAGCAGCTCTGCTCCCCTTTTAAACTGCTCCTCTTCCAACCTGTGCATGCCTTGACGGTGTGGTAGGGCAAAGCTGCTTGAGCCTAGAGCTGCGTCTTAACTCCTTGTCCAGTGTGGGGTTTGCATCGTACATCATAGGCTGCTTTAGCTCTAGCTGAATATTACCTTCCATGAGACAAATGCCTTTCACGGCATACTTATCAATTTTAAAATCTGCCGTCATGGTGGATGGAATTCTGCACTTCTTCCACAGGGACCCAAACTCAACAACACCTCAGGAACTAACACTGTAGGCCATACATAGAGACTAGGTTCATAATATGAATGGGAAATTTGCATACCCATGTACCAGTTTGTCCTCTCCCCTCTGTTCCCCTAACTTTTGCAAAGTGTTCTAGCACAGCATGAGATACAACTCTGGAAAACAGAAGGCTAGTTGCTGCAGTTAAGTATCAGCCTTGTAGTAGAGGGGAGAATAGGAGGTAGGCAGGAATAAAGGAATGAGCCAAAATTCATTTCTGCACTAGATGGCCCATCCACACTGACCAGAAATAAATCTATAACAGATTTAGTTTGTCATTTATTTAATATTTTAAAAAAAGCTGTGTACAAACATTTACTGAGTAACCATGTAAGTTTGTTGAATTCTCCATTGAGACTCTGTTCCTACTGTATTGCTTCCCTTCACAGTGTTGAGTGTAATTTAAGATGTAATATTACAGATGCTTATCACAATTGATCACCATCCTCCTTAAAACACCCCTTAACATATTTGAAGACGGTTATCAGGTTCCTCCCTCATTCTTCTTGTCTCAAGACTAATCATGCCCAATTTTTTTTAACCTTTCCTCTCAGGTCAGGTTTTCTAAATCTTTGTCTTTTTGTTGCTCTCCTTTGGCTTCTTTCCAATTCGTCTATATTTTTCTTAAAGTGTGGCACCCAGAACTAGACACAGTACTTCAACAGATTTTAGCAGTGCTGAGTAGAGCGGGATAATTACTTCCTGTATCTTACATACGACACTGTTAATACACCCCAGAACAGCATTAGTCTTTTTTGCAACTGCATCACGTTGCTGATTCAAATTAAACTAGTGACACTATAACCCCAGATCCTTTTCAGCAGTACTATAGCCAAACCAGTAATTCCCATTTTATAGCTGTTGTGCATTTCATTTATTAAATTTTTTCTTATTGATTTTAGACCAATTTCCCAATTTGTCAAGATCATCTTGAATTCTAATCCTGTCCTTGAAATGTTTGTGACAGCTCCAAGTTTGGTATCATCCATAAGCATATTCTCCACTCCATTATCCAAGTCATTAATGAAAATATCAGATAGTACTGGGCCTAGGACAGACCCCAACAGGACCTCACTAGTTATGTTCTCCCAGCTTGACAGTGAACCATTGATAACAACTCTTTGTGTATGGTCTCTCAACCAGTTATGCACCCACCTGATAGTAATTTCGTCTAGATCACATTTCCCTAGTTTGTTTATGAAAAAGTACTTTTAACCCCATTGTACAAATGGGGAACTTAGGCACAGAAAAACTGAGTGGTTTGCCCAAGATCAACACAGTGACAGATCAGAAAATAAACTCTGAGGTCTCCTGAATCACAAGCTAGTATCCTTAACCACTGGACCTTCCTTCCTCTCTAATTGACCTATCAGTTCCTGTGGCTATTAGTCCTCTAGTAGACTTCAATACAGATGAATAGATACAAAGAGAGACAATTTGGAGGGTTCTAATGCAGGATTCTGTTTCATTAAGATTATTTAATTTTATGAAAACCATTTTCAGGGAATAACTGTCAATTTTCTGTTAACCTAATTGGCTGATAGAGATTATCTTTGGTATAATAAATAATAATAGATTTTTTAAAATTACTGTTAGTTGACCTAGAGATGGGTCCAAACCAGAATCCTGAAACCAAATTATTTTTATTCATAAAGCACTGACAATGTGCTTAGTGCTGTACAAAGATACATAACGAGGAATGTCCTTCCATTTAGTTCACAGTCAGATATATAAAATCAGAGAAGACAGAATAAACTGCAAAGGAGATGTGACAGAGTTATTTTTTGTTTGTTTGAATCCCTAAAAGACAAGAAAAAAAATCCAGACCTTCCTTCCTTTGGGCTGCGAACCTATTATAAACATGTGAAAAGTTCTGGAGGTACAGGGCGCAAAATCCAGACCCAAAACTTGATCTGAATTTCACAGTGGACCAAACCAGAACCCCACTTCAGAATACCTCAAACTTTGGGAGGGGTTTTGAAACTTGGACTCAAGATCAGATCAGAATTTCACAATCAAAACCCATCTGCTGTCTTAGTGCAAGTTAATTAATAATAAAGTTGCTCAGAACTGTACATTATTAAAGTAAAGTGGTTCGTGTATGACCCCTTAGGACTGGAATCTTGCATTGTCACGGTAATAACACAAAACACTGTGGATTTTTAACAGAAGTTACCATTTTCTAGAAACCCATAACAACATGTTGAACATTAACTCATGAACTTTTAAAAGAACAGCACTGAATTTTCTATGTTTAAAACCATTATTGCTTCTTTAGGAATTACATCAACAATACTGGCTTCTCCAGAATTAAAAATAACTTCAATGGTAAGGTAATTTGACTACTTGGAGGGTGTTTTCTTACTAACAAGGAATTGAGCATAGTCTTGAGGTGGCATAGGTTAGTTGTTAGAGCAGAGGGCTGGGAACCAGGAGACTTGGCTTCCAGTTTCCTCTTTCTTTGGGTACGTCTACACTGCAGCTGGGAGTGAGCCTTCAAGCCTGGGTATACAGACTCTTGCTAGCATGCTAAAAATAGCAGTGTGGACATTGCTGCACTGGGGTTTGTCTGGACTAGGACAAATGTCCAAAGTTAAGTCAGGCTAGCTAACACATTACCTTATCTTGACCTATACTTAAATGTTTTCCTAATGTAGATTCAAGTTAACAACTTTTATGTCTGCTTAGCAGGTTGAGGTTGAGTGGGGAACTTAGGGTGGACTCTGATTAACTAAATCAAGGTAAAAGGTGTTAACCTGCATCTACAAAAGGTCAGGGATAGGTCAGGGTTAGGTAACATGTGTGACTTCAGCCATATTTCCCAGTCTAGACAAACTCTCATTGCATGACCTTGGATGAGTCACTTAAACATCTCTGTGCCTAAATTTCCGCAACAGAAAAATTGACCCAAGAGTATCCATCGTACTATATGAACGGGAAGTATTAAGGTTACAATTATATTCAGAAAATACATTCTCTGATTATCAAAGAGTTAAATTTCTAATCTATCTACAAAGGCATTTTCAGTTAGTAAATCAGTTCTACAAATCAAAATCTGATGGACTAATCTAGCTGTGCATTTGTGAGTCTCAAAAAGGTTTTGGGAACCGAAAACTTCAGAAGTTAAACACTTACCAAAATGAATAAAGTCTATATGTTGCCTCACTATAGCTAACTAGATTTTACATTGCAACCAGACTGATAAACTGAACCTCAGTGGCTAATTCATTAGGAGATTCAGCCTCTGCTTAGTCACTAACCATCAGTGAATCAACCCCTTGAGTTTGTGATTTGCATTTTGTTTTGAGACTGGGAATTGCAAATAGAGAGGAAACATGGCAGAACATTAAGAGGAAACACAAACCTTGAAACTGACACATTTGATTTTAAAGCAATAGTAAAATGCATTTGCTATAATTTTAAGTTTATAATATAGTAATTGTAGCATTCTTCTGTTCAAGGATGAAGAAATGTTTTTTTCAGGAAGCTTGAGATCTCTCCTTCCCCTTGCAGTCAGAAGTCTAATTCGATTCAACAAACTCAATATAAGTAATACTTCTGGAATGGCTAAGGGTAAGTGAACACAACAGCTGTAGGCGGACACGTAAGTCCCATTCTTAGATAATAAATGGCCAGGATTTTTCAAAAGCATATAAGTGAAATAGATTATTTAATTTTATGAAAACCATTTTCAGGGAATAACTGTCAATTTTCTGTTAACCTGATTGGCTGATAGAGATTATCTTTGGTATAATAAATAATAATAGATTTTTTAAAATTACTGTTAGTTGACCTAGAGATGGGTCCAAACCAGAATCCTGAAACCAAATTATTTTTTATTCATAAAGCATTGACAATGTGCTTAGTGCTGTACAAAGATACATAACAAGGAATGTCCTTCCATTTAGTTCATAGATATATAAAATCAGAGAAGACAGAATAAACTGCAAAGGAGATCTGACAGAGTTATTTTTTGTTTGTTTGAATCCCTAAAAAAGTTGGACAAAAGTCCAACGGAAAGTCAACAGGACGTTTGTATCTATTTCACTTGGGTTCTTTTTAAAATTCTGGGTGTCTAAAGTTAGGCTCCCAAATCCATCTTAACTAGGGTGACCAGACAGCAAATGTGAAAAATTGGGACGGGGGTGGGGTGTAATAGGAGCCTATATAAGAAAAAGACCCAAAAATCGGGACTGTCCCTATAAAATCGGGACATCGGGTCACCCTAATCTTAACTCACTTAAATGGCTTCATTTTTAAAACTGCAGAGCACCCAGAAGCTCCCTGTAATGTCAGTGGAATTGGCCCTTTTAAAGCACCAAGTGTATATTAATTACTGGTCTGGACTTTATTCTGTTTACACATTATAAATGTGATCAAGTCATGATCACTTGAACCTAAGCGATCAATACTTTTTAGGTCTGTGACCAGTTCCTTTTTATGTCAAGATGAGGTCTAATATAGAATTTCCCCATGTTGGGTGGAAAATGTTTTGAGTTAGAAAATTGTCATCTATAATATTTAGACAGTCAAGGATGTTTTATTAGTGGCAGCATGAGACCTCCAGCATCTGTCATTCAATCTGAATTTCCCCATGATCATGTAGCTTCCCCCCCCACACACACACACACATTATAGATAGGTGCATAAGGAGCTGGTCATCCTGTTCCGTTGTGTGATTTTGTGGCCTGTAGCAAACATCAGCTAATACCTTATTTGTACCTATCTTGTCCTTAGTCTGTTAGGACATTGATCCAACAAGCATTCATGATCATTTTCGTCTGAATTATCAGTGACTTGGAAACAGGTTATGCCATTTTTGATGCAGAGTGCCACTCTCCCTCCGCTTTTGCTCACTGGATCCTTCCTAAATAGGTTATAACCACTGATTTTAACATTCCAATATGAAGTTCCACTCCAGTATTCAGAGATTACTTCAGGAGCGCTCTCAAAAAATGATATACTTGATTTTATTAGGCTTCATAGCCGCAATAATATATGTGACACCATACGCCAGGCTCAGAATGAAGGCACTTGAATACTGGGAATCAAGGAATTTCAAACCCATTGTGGACAGTATGTTCAAGATAGTCACTCTTCCAAGAAATATCCAAATATCTCTAATGTGGTGGCTGAGACCAGAAAATGTTCTCAAAGGAGTTTTGTTGAACTCCCATCCTCTACTGTAATAGTTACATCAGATACTTTTCAAAATGGGTTGGGTACATGTCTCAATAATTTATTTATTTGAGGCATTTGGAATCACCAAGACTCAAATTTACACATAAATACGTTAGAACCGTGCCTAGCTCTCAAGTCATTCCTTCCACAAGTGCACAACTCAGTGGTTCAAGTTGCCACGGACAGAAGGTCTGCAATGCAATATCTTCCTCCTTATACCGTTTTTCAGAAAGACTGTGTGGTTCTTAGACCTCACCTCAGATTTTTTCCTAAAATATGGTCAGATTTTCATGTTATTCAGTATATTGATTTATCAGTTTTCATGCGTAGACTCCATGCACATCAAGTTGAATCCAGATTGCATTATTTAGCTACAAAGAGTGTTTTATCATATTATCTGGGCAGGACTAAGGCTTTTAGCACTTCTCCAAAATTGTTTATTTCCCATGCTGGACACTGTAAGGGTCAAGCTATTTCTGCCCAGTCCTGGTCTAGATGAATTAGTCAATGTATAGATGAGTCTTATAACATTTCTTCCTTCTTTCCTTCTGCTGCTATTAGGACTCACTTTACAAGAGCAGTTGCTACATCTGCAACATGTGCTAGGCATGTTCCCCTTATTAAAATATTGCAAAGCTGCCTCTTGGGATTCAATTCACATTTTCACTAAACATCATGTGTTAGATTTGACAGACAGACCCAATGCTCCATTTAGCAGAGCAGTACTTCAATCCTTGTTAATTAGGACTCAGCATCCCTCCATCCATTCTTGAAATAACTGCTAGCCAAGCTATCTCAAGAATGGAAATATGCAGAGGACACTCAAAGAAGAAATGAAGGTTACTTACATGTAACCAGAGTTCTTCAAGACTCAGCATATTCACACTCCCTGCCCACCTTCCCCTCTTCTGTGTAGTCCTAATTAAGTAATACTGTTATACTCTGCCCTAGCCGTGGAAGGAACTGAGGGGGCAGCTGGCAACATGCCCCCTTTTATAGCCACACCCTCCAAATGTGCTTGAATACTGATAGGTTGTAGGAGGGACGCGTGAGCCTTTAATAGGCATTACTACCAGCAAGTTCCACTGTTCATGCTACACCGTTTGGCACCTCCCAAGAGTGTTAATATGCAGAATCCTTCTTGAAGAATTCTAGTAACCTTCATTTCCTGAATTTATAGTAGATTTGTAAGCTATGGATGCATGATGTCAGATGGTTTGATTGGTGTTTTTAACCTCATGTGTTCATCTACATCTCTGCTCAATAAAAGCATGAATTAATGCTTTCTGGAATATCTTCAGCAAAGCAGGACATATCAGTGGTCTTCAGAGGGGGGAAATGTTTAAATTTAGTATTAAATTTAATATATTTATTTACATTTAGTATTAAATATGGTTAGTATTAAAATTTAGTACTTTTATTTAGTAATAAATTTATTTCTGTAGTTAATATGTATATTTAGAAATAAAATTTATTTCTGTGCTGAATACTCCCTAGAGATTGGATTGGGGTGGGGGAGCATTCATTACATAAATTTGTGCATACCTCAATTCTCACCTTTGCTTGGCAATTTTCCTTTAAAAGCAGGGTAGGTAGCCTTGTCTCTTGGTTTCCTGTCTTTTGTCAGTTTAAGTCAGGCCTAGGATGTTAAATTAATATTGATATTTTTTCCTTTATGTAAAGAACATTCACTTCTATCACATCTCAGATATTTCAGTTGCAGTTTGTATAAGGATCCATGGTCTGCAGAGCTTGGGACAGCTGAAGTTCCCAGAGTGCCACTGGGACGGCATGCAGTGCCATGTCCAGGGACCACTGTGGAGAATAGGCACCACAGGAAATACTGCCCAGAGGACCCAGAGTGACAGTAACCTGCAGTCTTCTGATGGGCCAAGTGCACTATTTATTCTTCAAGTACTTGCACATGTCCATTCCCACATAGGTGTGTGCACGCCCCAAGCACAGTTGCCAGAAATTTTTCCCCAATGATATCCATCGGGTTTGCTCTAGTGCCCTATGGTGCCATGCGCACATGTCACCGGTATAAAGGGCTCTGCCAGCCCCGTTCCCCTTCAGTTCCTTCTTACCACCTGTGACGGTTGGCTTGAATCCTTCATTACTTAGGCAATTCTCTCCTAGTGGTTTTTTCATACCAGTTTTAGTGTAAGTAGTTGTTATGGTTAGTAGTTAGAGTAGTTTTAGGTTTTAAATAGCTCAGACGCTTCTGCACTTAACTTTCAGGGTTGTCCGCCTTCCCAGTGCTGGGGCATGCCTCGGTCGCTGGGTTTTAGGCCCTGCGCTGCCTGCAGTAAGCCTATGCCTTGGAGCGACCCCAACTTGAGCTGTCTCAAGTGCCTGGGGGAAGCTCATAGGAAAGACTGCTGCCAAATCTGCAGGGACTTCAGACTCTGGAGCAAGAAGGACCGAGAGGCTCGACTGAAGGTCCTCCTCATGGAGGCAGCCTTAAGACAGGCTTCGGAGCCGCGCTCGAACTCAGCACCAAGCACCTCAGCTTCTGTGCAAAGCACTCATCCATCGACCTGGGAGTCTTGGCACTGATCACCCTCCCTGGTGCCTAAGTAGAAGCACCCCAAGCACCAAGAGAAGACCAGGTCTCTGATGCTGAAACCAAAGGAGAACAGGGAGAGAGCGAGATCCGGGCTGGACCACTCGTCTCCCCTGGCATCACAACATCAAGTGTCAACAACTCCGGTGCCACAGCAAGCTCCTTGGACACCTACAGAGGAGCAACCTCACAGTAGACAATGCCCCAGCCAGTTCGTGATGCCGTCAACTCCTGAGGTGTTCACAATGGCCAGGGACCTTCTCACCCTACCACTACTGGGATCCCCGTAGGGTCAAGACCAGGAAACCCAGAACTGGCTAGCGGATCGCCTCAGCAGTTTCTTCTCCTCTCACCACAAGTGTTCTGTCTGACCGGACATTCTGAGGCACATCTTCCAATGGTGGAGGATTCCACTTATAGACCTGTTTGCCACCCGCATCAACAGGAAATGTAATCAGTTCTGCTCTCTGTGAGGCCATAGCCCAGGCTCCCTGACAGACACGATCCTGTTGCAATGGATGAATCACCTGTTCTGCGCCTTTCCTCCTATTCCATTGATTCACAGGTTCTGGTGAAAATCAAGCAAGAGCGAGCTCGAGTCATTCTCATAGATCCGGCATGGCCCAGACAGCATTGGTTCACCACTCTCCTCAGCATGTCTGTGGAGGCGCCAATTCAGCTTCCACTGCATCCGGACTTGATCTCCCAGGACCATGGCCAGCTGCTACATCCAAATCTTGTCTCTCTCTATCTGACAGCCTGTAAGCTCTATGGTTGAACCAGGAGGAGCAGGCATGCTCTGAGCAGGTCCATGAGGTCCTACTGAGTAATAGGAAGCCCTGCACCTGAACCACCTACCTTGCAAAATGGAAGCGATTCTCCATCTGGTGCTCCCAGTGACAAATCCCGTCTTTACAGTCATCTATACAGCTTATCTTGGGGTACCTGCTGCTCCTGGAACAACAAGGCCTAGCCCGCTCATCAATCAAGGTCCACCTAATGGCCATTTCTGCCTTCCATCCCAAGGTGGACAACTGATCAGTCTTCTCTCATGAGATGGTTGTCCGATTTCTCAGAGGCCTGGAAAGGGTGTACCCTCAGGTCAGAGATTACCTGTACTAATGGCACAGTTAGTCCCAGATTTTGAAAGGTATTTAGGCATTTCTGTGTTCAACATTGCAACGCCTGACTGATTTAGGAGCCTGTTGATTGTCAATGGGATTTAAGCTTTGAAGTGCCTAAGTCACTTTTTAAAACTGATATTTAGACTCAATAATGGGGCAACACAGGGTTAATGAGCTAATGTGGGCTCAGGGTGGCTGTTCCCCCTTGTATCTGTGAGAGATATCAGGATTGGAGGAAGTAGCTTAAGAGGGAAAAGAATATCTCAGTTGATGACAGATCAGGAAGGAAAGCAGAGCTTCAGTCCTCTGCTCCTGGAGAAAGGGCTGACTGACGGCAGGAACTCCCCAGATGACCACTGCCTGAGAGACCCTCCATGAAGGAAGGGAGGGTCAGATGTTGACTCATCTTGAGATGTAACCATTCCCTTCTATTACTTGTAAACTCAGTTTAGGGCCACAACATGACAAGCGCCCTCTGAAGGAAGAGAGCCTTAACCCAATTTTGGGATGATTCATTTGTGTTAATTCCCCTTGTTTCTATTTGTTGACTATCCTGGAAGGGGGGGGGGGGCTTTAAAATGACCTGGGGGCCAAGTCACAGGAAGAGGCAGACCACCACAGAAGGTATCTGATGGGGAAAGAGCTGCTATACCAGGCCTGGCTGGCCACAAGGAGATGCTAGTGGTGAGTCAATCCCTTCACAGGCTCCTTAATCAGTTAGGTGTTGCAGCACTGAGTACAGTTCCTGCAGCTCCCATTGGCCGGGAACAGCGAACTGTGGCCATTGGGAGCTGCGGGGGGCCATGCCTGCGGATGGTCAACATAAACAAACTGTCTCGCGGCCTGCCAGCGGATTATCCTGATGGGCCGCGTGCCGAAGGTTGCCGACCCCTGCAGTGCAGCAACACCTAAATACCTTTTAAAATGTGGGCTTTAGGGACTATTAATCTGTGTATTTTACACTGTAGACCAGACCTGCTCCTTTGACTGCATCCCTGTTGTAGTCAATGAGCATTACATAGTAGTTTTTAGTAGTTTAGTGGATTTTAGTAGTTGCTGCTTAGAGATGAATATCTGCTTTTTTCATTTGTTCTCATTTTGAAAAATCTCAAAGATGCTAGAGACCTATTACAGAATAACAGCTTGCAAAAATGACATATTTTAAATTAAAGCTGGTTCTGAGTCGATTGCAGACGTGTCTGAATCTGTAACAATTCTATTATTTTCCCTCCTATATTTTAGAAATAGTTGAAATGACTTGAATCTAACCTAACAGACAAAATTTCATTCCTAGGAGAAAACCCTGTATGCTAAATTGCAACCCAAAGTACATTTCCAAGGCTAAGTTTCAAATGTCATTGAAAAATGGGCTGTGTAATGAAAGCTTTTTACTTATTAGACTGGTTTTGAGTTGCAGTTTTGCATTAACACAAGAAAAATAAAATGATATATGCACAAAGTATTGTACTCTTTTTATTTCCATTGCCAATATTTACATCAAATAAGATAATCTATTCTATAACATATCAATTTGCCAGACTATTTAATCAAAGTCATTGTAGGCTTCTGGTTTCCCCATAAAATAGCTTATTAGAGAAAAGCGACCCTCTCAAACCGGTGAATGCCAAGTACTTACACTACTAAAATGACTGCAGTAGACATTGACTGTGAAGAGCATATCTAGGAGTGATTTTATAAACAGTCTTTCCAAAAACATTGAAATTTTATTTAATTATAGTAGTCTGTATTATATTTAAAAATTCTCTTTTTCAAGGGAGAAGAATCTCTTCTCTAGGTAAGATCCATACAGAAATATTACTGTCACATATATTAACGATTGAATGAGTAGCTGATAATTGTTCCCTTTAATGCTTTAAGGCTATAAACAGGCAAATGTTGTGATTTTGCACAAATCCCTTGCTGATGACTTTGAAAAGTTTTGCCATGCAAATGATGGACCTCTCCCACTGCTGTACAGAAGTAAACCAGGTGAATGGAAATGTCCTTCTCTGAGCAGCAATTCTGATATCAGGTAAGTGTGGAAGTCTTTCCAGCTGTCAAACAGGTCTGATATTGATACTGGACATTATTGGAAGATAACATTTTCCAGAGTGCAGACCATCCATAGCTTTGTGCACAGTGAGCCCAACTTGCTTTCAGTTATACCTTTGCAACTGAAGTAAACGGACTGATGCAGTGGCATAGAATTTGGCCCATTATCCTTGTTTTTGACAAAACACCCCTTTACAATCCATGTTGTCAACATTTCAATTGTTTCAGTGATCCAAAAAATGAAGTTATGTTTAGTTGCAAAGATCTCTCAATAGTAGACCACAGAGTTAGCCTATAGTATTTTTCCCCATTTCTGTTTTATCCAATAGCAGCACTGACATGGTTACTCTACATTGCTCAGAGGTGGTTAGGAGACTGACTTCTGGAGCAAGCAGTCAGAGCAAAAGTCAGAACTCTGAAGAACATAATTTTGTAATGCTCATGAGAAGGAGATCAGTCTCAGGGGCATTTGCCTAGTAAGAATAAAATGTGTAGATGGCTTGAATGTGTGCACGAGGTTTCTGGCTTAATATGCAGCTGTGTAGGACAAGCAGGCTTTTACTGTTCTTCTTTGAGTGATTCCACATTCCACTATGGTTGTGCACATGCCCCACACACAGATGTCAGAGATTTTTTTCCCCTCAGTGGTACCCAGCAGGGTGGCTCAAGTGCCCTCTGTTGCCAGGCGCCACTGCATGCTGGTATAAGGCCTGGTCTACACTAACACCCCAATTCGATCTAAGGTACGCAACTTCAGCTACGTGAATAATGTAGCTGAAGTCGACGTACCTTAGTTCGAATTTACCGCGGTTCAGACGCGGTCCACACGCGGCAGGCAGGCTCCCCCGTCGACTCCGCGGTACTCCTCTCGCTGAGGTGGAGTACCGCAGTCGACGGCGAGCACTTCCTGGTTCGACTTATCGCGTCCAGACCAGACGCGATAAATCGAATCCGGAAGTTCGATTGCCAGCCGTCGAACTACCGCGGTAGTGTAGACCTGGCCTAAGAGAGCGCAGTCTTCCCTGACCTGCTCAGTTTCTTCTTACCGCCAGTGACGGTTGTCAGAGTGATCCAGACTTAAAGTAACAAGTGCTTCCCTCACTCTTTTCTGCATATAAATACTGTTGTAAATTAGTATTTTGTTAGTTATACTTTGTTTTAGACAGTTTTAGTGCTTAAGCATGGCCCCTTCCCAATCCCTCTTCAGAAACCACTCTCTCGAAATTGCCCTTCAATAGGAAGTCTAATGTTTTCTTCAGGCAGAGGCCATAGAGGGGCCATTGTACCTCAGGAGGAAGGGCATCTATTTCTGCTACTTCCTCATCCCCCAGGACAAATGAGGGTCTCAAGCCTATTTTAGATCTAGGAGAGTTGAACAAATTCCTGAAGAAAATAAAATTCTGTATCGTTACCCTAGCTTCAATTATTCCTTCCCTGGAACAGCGGGACTGGTACTCTGCCCTTGACTTAAAGGACGCTTGCTTCCATGTTGCAATATGCCATGACCATCAGAAGCTTCTCAGATTCGTGGCGAATGGTTGCAATTATCAGTTCACGGTGCTTACATTGGGGCTGTCAGCTGTTCCTTGGGTGTTCATGAAGTGCGTGGCAGTTGCAGCAGCTCATCTATGAAAATCGGGTGTCCCTGTTTGTTCCTGTACCTGGATGACTGGTTGATCAAAGGTCGGTCCAAGGCTCAAGTCCTGCCTGCTATATCCACTGTCCTGTCCACATTGTTTGCACTGGGGCTCCTACTAAATTGAGACAAATCAACCCTGAACTCATTATAGACAATAGAGTTCATCAGGGCAGTCTTAGACTCCACAAAGGCCAAGACCTTTCTATCACTTTACAAGTTTACAACTTTACAAGACCTAGTACTGCAACTGAGAACATACCCTCTCGTAACAGTACATAGCTGCCTCAGTTTTCCAGGCCATATGGTAGTATGTACATGTGTAGTTTGACACACCAGACTACATCTCTATGTTAGTTTTGTCATCTCTGGATTGATAGATGGACCCTCTGAAAGTTTGCCTGAGGATTCCCTTTCTCTCCCTGCTTTCAAACCTCAATCTGGTCACAGATGTGTCTTCAGTGGTCTGAAGAGTTCATATGGGGTTCCTGCAGACTCAAGGTCTTTGGTCATCTCAAGATCTAGAGACTCTCATAAATGTTAGGGAGTTAAGAGTGGTACGTCTAGCCTGCTTGGCCTTCCTCTCCCAAGTAGTGGGAAAAAAATTATTAATTCTGATAGACAATTTGATGCCCATGCCTTACATAAACAGACAAGGAGGAACATGGTTAAACCAACAGTGCCAGGAGGCAATTTGCCTTTGGACTTCTGTATAGCCTCAATTTATCTCAGAGCTGCCTACCTTCCAGGGAAACAGAACATGTTAGCGAATCAGCTGAGCAGATCCTTCTCTGATCATCATGAGTGATCACTATGTCCAGACATGGCCAGGTCCATGTTCCAACTCTGGGAGACTCACCAAGTGGACCTGTTTGCAATACGAACCAACAGAAAATGCCATCAGTTCTGTTCCTGGGGAGGCTCAGCCCAGGCTCGCTGACAGATGCTTTTCTCCTGTCCTGGAAGGAATCCCTTGTGTATGCTTTCCTTCTGATTCCTTTACTTCCCAGGGTCATCTTCAAAGAGAAACAAGACCATGCTCACCTCATCCTCATAGCACCAGCATAGCCTCCTCAACACTGGGTACTCAATCCTATTATCCTTGTCAGTGAAGCCTCCTCCGTCTCTCCTGTTGGATCCAGACATCATTTCCCAGGACCACGGGCACCTACTCCATCCCAACATCCAAACTTTCCATCTGACAGCAGGATGCTTTATGGCTGCTCAAGGGACATTCAGAAAGTGCTTCAAAGTAGCAGAAAACCCTCAATTAGGAACATTTACCTGGCTAAATGGCAGCACTTCTCCATTTGATCATCATAGGAACGGTGTATTTCCAGAGCAGGGCCCCTGAACCTCGTGCTGGACTATCTTCTAGATTTAAAACAGAGTATTGCGATTAGTTCTATAAGGGTGCATCTGGCATCTATTTCAGCCTTCCATGCCTTGGTGGATAATAGATCCCTTTTCTCTAACCCCATCATCACCTGATTCTTAAAGGGCTTGGTCAGATTACACCCACACATACGAGACCCCATCCCATCTTGGGATCTTTTGAACTCAGTCCTAGCAAAATTGATGGGACCACCCTTTGAGCCCCTTGCAACTTGCTCCCTCCTTCACCTTTCCATGAAGGTAGCATTTCTGGTGGCAATTACCTCAGCCAGAAGGGTGGGTGAGTTGAAAACTCTGATGTCAGAGCCGCCCATACAGTTTTCCATAAGGATAAAGTTTATCTTCACCTTCACCCAAAATTTCTCACAAAAGTAGTCTCTAATTTTCATGTTAATCAAGCAATCTATTTGCCCATGTTCTGTCTGAAACACGATGCACATACAGATGAGGAAAAGCTTCACTCTTGGATGTGAGAAGAAGGGCTTTAGTTTCTACCTGGCACGAACTAAATCTTTTAGATCCTGTATGAAGTTATTTGTAGCAGTTGCAGACAGAGCTATGGGCCAACCAGTGTCCACTCAGAGAATCTCCTCCCGGATCTCTTCATGCATTCATTTATGCTACCAACTGGTTAATATAATCCCACCAACTAGAGAGCTGGCGCATTCTACTAGTGTGCAGGCAGTTACTGCAGCTTTCTTAGTGCAAGTGCCGATTATAGACATTTGTAAAGCAGCCACTTGGTCATCAGTCCACACTTTTGCATCTCATTATGCCATTTCTGTCAGTCAAGAGCAGTTGTTCTCAACCCACAGTCCAATTAGCACACAGCTGTTGCCCATGTGACAGCCTCAGGACCATAGAGGTAGTATATATATTGTGTGGATTCGGCCCACATAACACAGAGAGAGCTGCATATGTGGCCCACAATGGTAAAAAGGTTGAGAACCACTGGTCCAGAGATAATGCCAGTTTTGGACAGGCTATCTTACAATCACTGTTCAGGTAGACTCCGAATCCACCTCCTTGCATGTTTGCTTTTGAGTCACCTACAGTGGCATGGACATGTGCAATCACTCAAAGAATAAAAACCAGTTTCCTTCCTTTCTTTAATTGTTATTCTTCAAGATGTGTTCCATATGTCCACTCCATGACCCTCCCACCGTCCCCTCTCTATTGGAGTTTGTCTGGTACAAAGGAAATATGGCGGGTCAGTGGCAGCTCTGCTCTCTTATACCAGCATGCAGTGGTGCATGGTGACAGAGCGCTCTCAAGCCACACCGACTGGTGCCACTGAGGGGAAAAAAATCTTTAACATCTGTGCACAGGGTGCACTCACACCCACAGTGGAACAGACATGTGCAACCCATATTAAAGGTCAACAGTTACAGCAAGGTAGATTAACCAGTTTTTTTGTGTTGCTTATGCTATCACCAAGAAGAAAAAGAAATGGACAGAACAGGAAAAATCCTGAGCTTTAACACTTCATGAATGTCAATTTAGCCAACATTTCTTCATATAATAATTCATTTTGCTTAAAAAAATTGTGATAATTGTGACAGTATAGCTCTTTCTTTATTTCATTAGAACTGATTGCCTACAATACAGGATATATGAGTATGGAGCTTGTACTGGCACTTCGACAAGTCTAAAGGATTATTTTGATCAGCTTAAAGACATGGTGACTTTTTACTTAGGCTGCAGCTTCTCATTTGAAAAGGCAGCCCACAAGGTTGGTGTTCCTCTAAGGAACGTTGAGCAGAAATGCAACGTAAGCATGTACAAGGTAAGAACACAATAATTGTTAAATTACATCGAGGTTCAGATAGGGTTACATCAGCACATTTTTGTACACTGAAACCTGTACTGCAGACCATCTCCACTACACACAATATTGACTATTATTAAACCACTTTTAGTATCTCCACATGGATTTGCTCTTTAGTTAAAAGGTTGACTGTACTATGCAATGGATTTTTGTTTCACCTTGGGTTATCATTCAACATGCTTGTTTCTGTTTTCTTGGTCTCAATGAGAAGAAAAAATCACTCTCACAGTGAGAGCCTATGTTAGTCTTCAGGTTGGAGAAAATATGTGAAGTTGTTTACAAAGAAGAATTTGTCTAATTGTGTTTATTACATTCTAGAATTTTAAAATATCACTATTTATTGCAATAATGGCAATAACAAGATAAAATAAATGCTACCTTTTGAATGTAGACCTATGAATGATCCTTAACTATTATTCCTCTATACTTTAATTGAAATCTAATACCTTTTATTAAACATTTCCTGTGCAGACAGTATTATTTGTTGGTTTGCTTATCATATCTTAAATGACAAATTAACTTGGAATGACATTTTATCTTTATAACCTAGATTTGTGTTTCTAAGTGGACATGACTCAAAATTAAAATTTCTTAGGACCAATCTGTGGCTCCTCTTCCATGGGCAGGAAAGGCCCTGGCCCAATGGAACTTGAGTATTTCTGCTATGGAAATAGAAGATTGCCAGTTTTGGGGTGGGTAGATCCGTAGGATCTTTGCAAACTCTGCTATATGCAGTTTCTCTGCATTTTAGCATGCATGGAGGGTTGTGGCCAATAGATGTTTCTTTATGCTTTTTACCCCTTCCCCCCCATAGAAGGAGAAAAAAACAGCAGTTAAGGCTACATATCTGGGGTCCACAGTATATCTGGGTTTACCAAGATTTGTGCTGCATATGCCAAATTAAGGATTTAGCTCTTAGAATATAATTAATGGTGCAGAAGATATTCACTGTCATACATGTTAATTACAAGAGCTAAAGGGTAGAATGTCTGGTTTATTCACTATTGATTGTTATAGGAAATGGATTATTTTCATTGGATGCTAGTTACAATATTACTCAAAATCCTTTAAAAATGTATGTTAAAATGTGCCCCTTGTAAATTCAAGGGTGCATAGTCATTTCAGAACTGAAAATAAGCCTTGATAGTTCTTCAATTCCTGCTAATGCCTTGGTTATTTTTTAAATTTTGTCAGACGGATATGCCTTGCTGCAGAGTTGCTAGTTTTTGCTGCAATTTAGTGGTCACAATGAGACCGATTCCTGAAGACCAGTTAGAAGCAGTTGTGGAAGCTACTTATCCATTGAAAGACTCACATGGAGCACCTGTTCACATTGGTAACCCTGGTCAGTGTACTTTCCATACATTTCATTCTAGGAGTGTATTACACTGGCCATAAAGCTAAGGGAAAAAATAGACAAAAAGTATGGGGGACAATAAACTTCAGCCTAAATTTCAAGTGGCTACATAAAAACCTAAACTTTTTTATAGGTACATAGGTACTGACTTGTTTAAAGTTTAGTTTAGCTGAAAGTGAAGGTTTGATGTGACTGAACAGAGAAAATGTGTTGGATAAAGAGATGGATGTGTGAAACAGGGAAAGTAGTAATGTAGTCTATTTGGTGACAGGTTTCAGAGTGATAACCGTGTTAGTCTGTATCAGTAAAAACAATGAGGAGTCCTTGTGGCACCTTAGAGACTAACAAATTTATTTGGGCATAAGCTTTCGTGGGATATAACCCACTTCATCAGATGCATGGAGTGTAAAATACACTAAGCAGGTGTAAACATACAGCACATGAAAAGATGGGAGTTGCCTTACCAAGTAGGGGGTCAGTGCTAACGAGGCCAATGGGACACATCCACCCTAATTGAATTGGCCTGCTTACTGTATTTTCCACTACATGCATCTGATGAAGTGGGTTATATCCCATGAAAGCTTATGCCCAAAATTTGTTAGTCTCTAAGGTGCCACAAGGACTCCTTGTTGTAGTCTATTTGGATTTCAGTAAAGTATTTGATTAAGTCTTATTGAAAAATACATGTGGTTTGGCTTGAATATGTGCACTGTCCCATCGTTGGAAAAGGTAACAATAAATGGCAGTGTTGGGAGATGTTAATTTCAAGATGGGATCAGTTGTAAGTCTGGTATTATTTAGCATCTTCACTAATGAACCTGAAAGTAAACATCACATTGCATTTAAAAATGATATTGAACTAAGATGTGTTAAAAACAACTGTGAGGACAGAGAAAATAATACAACAGTGGAAAACATATTAGAAATGACCTTTTATTATGATATGGCAGTAATAAAAAAACCAGTGAAGTTATTGTCTATATCAAATCACGGAGCATGGAGGGGGGTCTATATGGCACTAGTGACCCTGCACCTAGAATAATGCATACAGGTCTGGGTATTTAACTTCTAGAAGGCAAACTACAAATTGGAGTGAGTTCAGAGAAGAGCAACAAAAATGATTAAGAGGCTATTTTTGTTGGTCTCTGAGGAGTGTTTTAAATAATCACATGTGGCTTACTCAAATGAAGTCTAGGGCAGGTGGGGGGAAAATAAGAAAACCAGCTGCAGGTGTCTGAAGAACGTAAACACAAAGGAGAGAGAGCAATTGTTTAGGATGATCCAGGACAGTATAACTAGAAATAATTGAATTAAATCAAGCAAAGGATTTAGGCTGAAGAACAGGAAAAGTTTGATAGTGAGATCTAATAGGCTGTGGAATAACTGCCACAGGGAAGTAGTGAAGGCCCATATCTTTAGTTAATGAAAATGGGCTGGACAAAGCACTGGATAGGAACATGCCTGCATGGGCAAATAGGAATAACCCACCACTACTCTTATGAAAGTATCTCTTGAGTGAACAGATCAGATATTGTAAGAACGTTTCCTAGGAACTGTAAAATTCAGAGAGTGCTCAGCAGGTTTTCATTTGTCTCAGATATAGCCAGATATAATATGTAATAAAATGTCATCATCCGTGTTTTACTAATATACAAAAAAAAATTTAAGGCGTGTAATATTAGGACAGGAACTGAGGGCACATACATGCATACTAAGGGAACCTAACAGGCCATTTGAGTCATAGGTTGGCCTTGCCATTACTGCTTTCCATGCTGCAGTTTTAACACAGTGTCACTGGATGAGCTCAGCTTTATACCATTACTGCTTTGCTGGAATTTAATGTTGTTTTACTGTTTGTCAATTATAGGCCTATTAGGAATCCAAAACCTTTCCAGCCCAGACTATGGAGATCCAGTTCAGCCTCACCCTCAGGATGTTCCAGTGTTTTGGGCCTGTGGAGTAACTGGGGTGGAAGCAGTCAGCAACTGCAGTATGATGGACTTTTTATGTTTGAGATAACAGTGGTTTCATTTTTATGTTGTTCACTGTACACTGAGAGAGTTCTTATTGGTAGGATGTGGTTAGTGGGTCTGATCTTCATTGCCCTGAACTAGAGCTGGTTGGAAAATCTTTGATGGACCCATTTTCTGTTGGAACAGTTCATTGAGTTATTTCCCTATGGGTTGTGCACATGCCCGTGCACTCTCGATCGGAGATCTTTCTGCTAGTAGTGCCTGCATGGCTGCACCTGCGCCGTACACCTCCTTGTGCTCCAGTATGAAAATATATAGGGAGAAGTGGACCCATGCTACTCCAGTTCATTCTTAACTGCCTGCAGCTTGAGATGCAGTTCTGTGGTATCAGCTATCTGGTTGACATAGTTATTCTTCTGCCCTTTTACTCTTTATTTTTGTTTTATAATTAATTTTTAGTTGTTGATATTTGTTTTGTTTTTGCTGTTGTTAATTTACATTTTATAGCACAGATGTGCTTTGAAGGTGGGTTCCCTCATCTGTTCCTTCTTTCTTTGAGGGCCCCCTTTTCTCTCAGGCCTTCTTGACTGGCAGCTTTCCTGTCAGGGTATGCCCAAGATCCCAGGATTCAAGCCCTTCCAAATCTGACACAGGTCTTTCTCCCTTCTGTGATAGGCATTCCAGCTGCCTCTCCTGTATTGGGGCTTGTTTACACTACCGCACGGGGTTGATCTAAGATACGCCACTTCAGCTACGTGAATAGCGTAGCTGAAGTTGACGTACTTAAATCTACTTACCGTGGTGTCTTCACTGTGGCAAGTCGACAGCTGACGCTCTCCCGTCTACTCTGCTTGCGCTCCTCATTCTGGTGGGGTACCGGAGTCGATGGAAGAGCGGTCAGCGGTCAATTTATTGAGTCTATAGTAGACGCGATAAATCAACCCCCGCTAGGTCGATCACTGCCTGCCGATCCGGCGGGTACTGTAGACAAGCCCTTGGAGAGGCTCATGTCCCATCCAGGCTTCAAGAGCTCTGGTGGCAGCGAGCCCCTGGCCCTTTAAATCGCCGCACGATCCCTGAGCCCTGGGGTAGCGGCGGCAGGGCTCTGGCAGCGATTTAAAGAGCCAGGGGCTCCTGCCACTGCAGGGAGCCCTGGCCCTTTAAAGTGCCACCCGAGCACCGCTGCCGGAGCCCCGGGGTAACGGCGGCAGGGCTCCAGCGGTGATTTAAAGGGCCAGGGGCTCCCCACAGCGGCTGGAGCCCCGGGCCCTTTAAATCACAGCCGGACCCCTACCGCCGCTACCCCAGGGCTCCAATGGCGATTTAAAGGGCCCTGGGCTCCGGCTGCTGCAGGGAACCCTGGGCCCTTTAAATCACCAGCCTGGGGAAGCTGATCGGTCCGGAACGGTGTACCAGCTCTTGCCGGTACACCGGACTGGCTTACTTTCACCACTGCTCATTGGTACCAAGATCAGACTCTTCCAGAAGGAAGGACTCTTAGAAGAAATTATCTTACCAGGTCCACCAGCAGCTACATCTTTCCAGAATGATTGTGGTCTTCTATGGTACCGCCTCCTGTACTGCTGGACATATTTAATCTGGGGGAACACTCCCCGGGCTCACGGGTAGCTTCTAGGTACCTCTCTCACAAGGGCCTTCATGGTATCAAGGAACCCGAATTTCTGTTCCTAAGGGGTACCACGAAGACTTTCCCACTGGCACATGTCTTCCCACCCTGACCAAACATATTCCCTGATATCGCTGCAGCCTCAGGTATAGATCCACCCACCAGTACCATCACAATTGCTGGATCCGCCTTGGCTTCTAATACTGATGTGAGCTCTGGTACAGAGTCCTTCAGCTCCGTCACTAGACATAGGACACCTCCTCTGATTCAGAGGTCTTTATTCAGGGCTGTACCATCTACCACCCTCCTCCTCTTGAGGTCTTCCCTGAAGAAGAGACCTGAGGAGCCAGCAGACACTTGATCCAACAGCTCTGGCAAGACCACCCAAAATGTGTAGTGCCTTTCCCTTACACCCCTCTCCAGAGGGCTTTCGGAGCCCTTGAGCTCCATATGAGGACCAAGTCTACAGGGTATCCTTACACAAGAGGTCCCAACAGGATTCTCATCCACCAATAGCTCGGGAGCCTCCTCACCCTACTCAAGAGGGGCCATCAGAGGATCAAGAGTTCAGATGAAGTTTGCCCCAGAAGAGACAACTATGCCTTCTCTGCCATCCTACATGGATAACTTTCAGAACTTGATGAAATGCATAATAGAGGCTATACAGATTCCTTTGGAGGAAATCCAGGAACAAAAGCAATCCTTGGTGGACATCTTGCACACCTTCACCCAGGGCAAGATAGCCGTACCTATTAATGAGGCCCTTCTCTCACCATCCCACACAGTGTGGCAGAATCTGGCCATCATCTCACTCACCTGTAACAGGGTCAATAAAAAGTACTATGGCCCAGCCAAGGGCTCGGAGTACTTGTTTTCTCATTGCACTCCTAATTCCCTAGTCGTCAATGCCGCGAACAAAAGAAGTCAGCAATATCTGACAAAGAACTTAACCATCTGACCTTCTAAGGTGTAAGAGCTACTTATCAGTGTCTCCGATTCCGAGTTTTCCAACTGCCAAGCCCTGATGGCAAAATATGACGTTACCTATTATAGTAAATATTCTCATTTTATTGAGTCTGTGCCTCAGAACAAGAGAGAGCAGTTTCTAACTCTTATTACAGATGGTCATACAATTGCCAAAGCCTTCCTGCAGGCCTCCCTTAATAAGGTGGATATGGCCTCTCATTCTATGCCCTGTGCCATAGTCATGCGCCAGACCTCCTGGGTACAGTCCTCTGGCTTGCTCAAGGAAGTACAAAATATTATGTAGGGCTTGCCTTTTAAAGGTCCTAAGCTCTTTAGTGACATACAAACAGATCTCTTCATTCACTCAAAGACTCTAGGGTGACATTGCACTTTCTTGGTATCTATATTCCATCTACAAAGTGAAAATATAGCAAATCTCAGACAGCACAATGCTCCCATCCGGTGTACTATCAGGCATTTCAAAGAATTATTGAGCCACCCAAAAAAGGTTTAGGCACAAGAAAGGCCTATCCTCCATTGTCACCTCTCAGATGGCTACCTCATCCAAACGACCATTTTGATACTTTGGTCGAGATTTCTCCCCAGAGGATCTTTAGCTGCAGCAGCCATCCATTCTCTCAACCTATGGAGACCACCTTGCCCATTTCCTCCATTTTTAGGAGCATATCACCTCAGACAAATTGGTACTGAAAATAATCTTGACAGGCTACTCCAGGGTTTCTCAAACTTCATTGCACCGTGACCGCTTTCTGACAACAAAAATTACTACACGACCCCAGGAGTGGGGACTGAACTCGCCTAAGCCCTGATGCCCCGGGTGCAGGTGCGGAAGCAGAAATCCAAGGGCTTCAGCCCCAGGCAGGAGGACTGTAACCTGAGCCCTGCTGCCCAGATCTGAAGCCATTGGGCTTCAGCTTCAGCCCTGGGCAGTGGGACTCGGGCTTTGGCTCCAGGCCCAGCAAGTTTAAGTCAGCCCTGGTGATCCCATTAAAATGTGGTCGCGACCTACTATGGGGTCCCAACCCGCAGTTTGAGAACCGCTGGGCTACTCCATCCAATTCTGCTCCCCCCATCCCTGTTCAGGGATCCTTCTCACAGGTGGCTCCTAAAGCAGGAGGTAGAATCCCTCCTGCAACTGAGGACGATCGAAACCATTCTTCCAGACTTCTTCAGTAAGGGTATCTGGTCCAGGTACTTCCTGGTCCTGAAGAAAAAAGGAGGGTGGAGATCGATTTTAAACCTTTGCTCTCTAAAAACTTTTATTCATACACAGCACTTCAGGATGGTCACCCTAGCAATGACCATTCCATCGTTAGATCCCAGGGACTGTTTCGTCACCCTCAATATCCAGGATGCCTACTTTCAAGTAGCCATAGACCCTGTTCACAGTTGTTTCTTCAGGTTCATGGTGGGCACCAATCATTACCAGTACCGTGTCCTGCCGTTCGGCTTATCAACAGCTCCTATGGTCTTTACAAAGGTCCTCTCCATCATTGCAGCCCACCTTCAATAGTTAGGAATAGTCATTGTTGCGTATCTGGATAACTGGCTCCTCAAGGACCATACTTTCCTGGAAGTCCAGTTGGCCACCAAGAAGGCCCTAGCTCTGTTCCACCCCCAAAGCCTTCGCCTCAACATATAAACCCTGACACCCGTGCAATGCATAGACTCGGAGGCAGCCAAAACATACCTCCCTGTGGACAGGCTTGCCAAGAGATCCAACCTGATCTTCATTCTTACAGCAGAGTCCACGAACCACAGTGAGAACTTGTCTTCAGCTCCTGGGACACATGGCAGTCTGAACTTCTGTAATCCCTCATGCAAGGCGGAGTTCCTGGTGTCTTCAAGCCTGGCTCAAGACAGCCTACACTCCCAGCAGGCACAAGCCGTCCAGGGAGATGTCAGGCCCTCAGATGGTACTCGACTCCCTCAGTTGCTGGAAGTACCCTTTAAAAGTCTGCATGGGAACCCCCTTCTCATGTCCATCTCCCACACACATCATCACCACGGTTGCCTCCCTTATAGCCTCCGGTGCTCAACTGCAAAATCCTAAAGCCCAAGGCAAATGGACTCCTTGAAAGTTGTCACTACATATCAACATATTTTAACTTCAAGCAGGCATAACTAAGCCCTTCAGGGTTTTTCCCAGGCTCTTAGTTTGCTTTGCAGAGAGGATGATGGGTCACTCAATCTCCTCTCAGAGACTGTGTTGGGTAGGTATCAGGATGCATTTTGGCATGCTATGAGACATAGATTGTACCCACCCTCCTAGAGTCACTACTCACTTCATGCAGGCTCAATCTACTTCCAGTGCCTTCCTTAGGAAGGTATGCTTCAAGGACATTTGCAAGGCCGCCACCTGGTCTTGCATTCACATATTTTTCACAGCATTATCCCTTACTCCATGCCACCAAAGTGGACATGACATTCTGTGAAGCTGTTCTGCACTCTGTACTGGATCCACCTCCTCAGCATCCTCTTCCACATTAAGGTACTGCTTGGTAGTCTCCTCATGAGAAACCCAAATGGACAACACTCGAAGAAGGAGAGGTTACTTACCTTGTACAGTAACTGGAATTCTTTGAGATGTTTTGTCTGTATGGGTGCTCCACTACCCACCTTCCTTTTCCCTTTGCTTCGGACTTTTACTATGCTCTGAGGTTGAGAAGGAACTGGAGAGGTGTGGGTCTGCTTTTATCTATATGCCCTTTACTGGAGCATAAGGCAGCATACAATACAGGTGCGGACCAGTGGGATATACTAGCAGAAGAATCTCTGATCGAGAGTGCACAAGCGCATGCACATCCTCAAATGGAGCACCCATAGGGACAAAACAACTTGAACTCCAGTTACTGTACAAGATGATAAGTAACCTCTTCTTCCGTCAGAATCAAAATTAAATGCAAAATCATGTTAATTTCACCAAAATTTTGTTTAGGAGGAAAACTGGAGAAAAAGAGTTATATGGAAATGTTCCGTTTCAGCATTTTGGTAAAGAACCATTTTGATTTTTCATTTTGAAACTGCTTTTCTTTCACTTTTTTTTCAAATTCTGTATTATATTATATATATACACTTGGAAGGATTAGATTTTAATTGCTAACCATCAGTAAACATAGATTTCACCATACACACATAAAATGATGAAAAAAATATTTCCATCAATAATAATTTAACTTTACAGATAGACAGAGTAAGAAAAATGCTGCTTGAGAACTTTAGTTTGATTTAAGGATATTTACTCTGTACATTTTGACATGTGATATTGGCAATTTTTGTTTTGATAGTTCTATAGCTTTAACTTTGTGAACCTCAACATATACTGTCTTAAATAATTATTGCCTGACCCTCCCCCATAATTTCCAGCAACTGTAAAAATTTAAATTGATTAAAAATAGGGGGAGAATACAGTAAAAGCTTTTTTACCTGGCATGTTGGGAGAATGGGGGGTGCTGGTAAGTGAAAAATTCTGGTTAACTAAGAGGGAGGGAGTGGAGGCACGCAGGGCGCAGGCTCTGGGAGGAAGTTTGGGTGTGGGAGAGAGTGCGGGGCAGGGGGTTGGGGTGCGCGGAGTGCCGAATGCGGGGTTGCTCACCTCAAGTGGCTCCCCGCAAGCAGCGACCAGTCCCTGCAGTCCCTAGGCAGAGGTGCGGCTAGGCAGCTCTGCAAACGCTGCCCCCGTCCACAGGCGCCACCCCCACAGATCCCATTAGCTACGGTTCCCAGCCAATGGGAGCTGCGGAGCCACCTACCTGCGCTTCCATCTAAGGGCCACAGGGACTGGTCACTGCTTGCGTGGAGCCGCCCAAGGTGAGCGCCCCCCCGGATCCAGCACCCCGCATCCCCTCCCACACCCAATCTCCCTCCCAGAGCCCGCACCCCAATCCCGTGCCCCCCCCACACCCAAACTCCCTCCGAGAGCCTGTGCCCCTCATCCCCCCCACCCCCTGCGCCCCAGCCCTGCACACCCCTCCTGCACTCTGAACCCCTTGTGGCCATTCCTCCGCCTTGGAGTAGCAGGAGCATGTCGCCACTTCCAGGAAGCCACATAGGGAGCCTGCCAGCCTCGCACCAACCAGGACTATAAAGCAGACTTTCTATGAAGATTAGAAATGCCAGTTTATAGAGCTCTCTGGTTGGTACAGGGCCAGAGAACACAGCTTTTACTGTTCTTTAAAACCATAATGTTACACTATGTAAAAATTTAATTCAATAACAACAACAAAATGCTTAAAAATAAACATCAATATTACGTATAAAAATTATTTTAAAAATCTAATTTTGCCAAGCCTAATTATATTTTATAATATAAAATAAAGTCAACTGAAACAAATTTTTTGATTTTCTCAAAAAAAACAAAAAACATTTTGACTGATCCAAAAAAAATTTTTTCCTAAATTTTTTGTCACAGAGAATTTCAAAAATTTGGGGGTTTGTTCCAAATCACAACAAAAACAAACTTCAGGATTCTTTGTGAAACAGCATTTCCATTCTCCACACAGCTCTACATTGCACCTTATGCAGTCATTTATATTTAATGCGAAGTGAGGGCACAGTGCATGTGAAATGCTTGCAAATCAAAGTGGCAGTGTTTTACATTGTGTCTAAATGACTACACAAGGCAAAAGCAATGGAGAATGAGGCCCAGTGTATTTTTTTAGTGCTTCTGCAAAGTGAGTTTAGTAACATGGACTAGAGCAGTGCTTACAGTGGATAGGCTGCCTCTCACACACATTTACTATACAGCAAATTCACAGATACTAAAGAAAGGCAATGTTGTTTAGTGTTTGTACTACAGAAGTGGGTGACTGATTATATTTTTAATCCCAGCTGTACCACTGACTCATTGTATGACTATAGGCAAGTCACTTGTACCTAAATTGTCAAAATTATCACTGATTTAGGGTGCCCAACTTGAGACATCTAAGATCTGATTTTCAGATTAACTCCATTAGGAGCTGCAAGTGCTCAGTGCCTCCAAAATCAGGTTCTAAATCGTTCAAGTTGGGTAACAAAAATGGGGACACTTCTGAAAATATAAGCCCAATCATCTAAATGCGTTTTCATATAGTCTTTTTCTTAAGTGAAAATGCGTTCAACTGATCCATAAGCCCACTGTTCTTTCCTCCCGATGTGTTTGTGTGTGTGTATATATATATATATACACACACACACACACACACACACACACACACACACACAAACTTACAATGTTACTTATGTATATATTTGATTAGCTCCCTTCACGTGTCACTTGTCATTTTATATTGTAAGCTCTTTGGGGTAGGGACCATGTATATGTTTTAGGATGCAACTTTTCTATTTTTCTTATCGTTCTAGTGCTTTATCAATAATATTTTTATTTGTTATTAGTATATTGTATATTGTATTAGTATATTAGCATACTGAGTTGAAGTTTTTCCATCTATTGTAGAGTCTCCGCTGGCTTTTACACATTCTCCTGGGTGTATGTCTATTACTGCCCTGAAGAATGAAGATGCTCCAGTTCATAACTCTAAAGAAATCCCCATGGTCCACTGCATTTCTCAAAATCCTTTGCATTATAGCATTGCATCAGAAACAGCTGTGCGAAAGATAAGAGAGCTAGAAAGTCTAATTGGAATAGATCCAGGTAAAAAAATAATTTCTTGAGTTACTGAAGAATTAATCATTCTGGAAACATAGGATTTGTCATACTAAATTAGTATGATCCATTCCGTTCATTTAGATATTGCATAGTTGACCTTAAATAGTAAAAATTGAAAGGTAATTCCAAATGTTACAAAGAATTCCAGTGTTAGATTATTCTGATTGAACATTGTTACTTCTCCCCTTCCACCTTACCAAATGGACTACTTTGTGCCAGCCTAAGGTACTGGTCTGCACCTGATAAAGGCAGGCATCAATTCAGTTCCCATTCCTGGTCTCATTTTCAGACTCTGAGTTCTAGACAGTCAGGCCTGGTGGTTAAAGCAGTGTCCGAGAACAGATATCAAGGGTTGAAGCTGGAGGTAGAGTTGGGACCAGGCCGAGGGCAGCACTGAAACTGGGGTCCAGGGACAAGCCATGGGTAAGAACCAGGGTCAGAGTCCATAGATGTGCCAACTCAGGATCATAGTCAGAATTTGGAAGCAGGATGAAGTTGAAGCTGGGCTGGAGTCAGTCCAAGGATCTGGGGGTCAGGAGCTGGGTGCAGGGCTGGAGCGGCTGAAGCGGGCTAGGACAAGGCTTAGGCAAGGCTGGGGCAGGAACAGGGATAGGATCAAGGGCAGGCTGGAAGCCTAGGAAATCTGTAACACCATGAGGCAGCAGGAAGATTCCTAGCCAAATGGTGCTGTTGCACAGAGCAAGTTGTGGCTCTGGTGGGGAGTGTGAAATACCTGTGCCTGTGGGTCATCTGCCCCTGCCCCTGGATAGGCTGTTGCAGCATGCCTGAGAGATGAGTCATTGCAGGCTCTGCTGGAGTGGTGAGTCATAGCTGAGTGAGCAGCCCTGGTCCAGCTGAGGGTTTGCCTTACACTCATTTTCATGCTAACATCATGTACCGCTGACCATCACTGAAAACCCTAGGCAGATTGCACCTGACTGCTGCAAGGTGACTGGAGACCCACAAGCTAGTTCTCACCAGGAAGAAATCTAGTTACTGTATATAAATAGGGCCCTACCAGTGCTTAATTTGTAATGAAAGAGGTGCTGGGGCTCAAGCAATTAGGTGCCAGGGCTCAAGCAATTATTTACTTTCATAACTTGCGTGGCAAGCTTAGAGGTGACAGGGCTCAGTCCTGGCAAGCCCTGGCACAAATTAAGCACTGGGCCATACCAAATTCATGGTCCCTTTTGGTAAATTTCACGGTCATAGGATTTAATGAGATTTCATGGTTTGAGATATTTAAATCTGAAATTTCATGGTGGTGTAACCGTGGGAGTCCCAATCCAAAAAGGGGTTGGGGGGCGGGGTTGGCAAGGCTTTGTAGGGGGGGTCACGGTATTGGCACCCTTACTTCTGCGCTGCTGCTGATAGCAATGCTGCCTTCAACAGCTGGTGCCCGACCAGCAGCCACCACTCTCCAGCATCCAGCTCTGAAGGCAGTAGCACAGAAGTAAGGGTGGCAATACTATATCATGCCACCCCTGCTTTTGTACTGCTGCTGGTGGCAGTGCTGCCTTCAGAGTTGGGCTCCCAGCCGCCGCTCTCCAGCTGCCCAGTTCTGAAGGCAGTGCCGCTGCCAGCAGTAGTGCAGAAGTAAGGGTGGCAATACCATGACCCCCTCTACAATGGCCAGATTTCATGAGGGAAACCAGATTTCACGGTCCATGACGCATTTTTCATGGCCGTGAATTTGGTAGGGCCCTATATATAAATGAATACTAGTAGCAATTGCTAGTATATGAACTGCAGAGCTGATGCCAGTATGTTTAACAGCTCAAGGATAATTCCCTATGTGAGATGATGTCGACCAGGACTACTGCATCCTTTAACAGCTTTTCAGTACCTTTCACTCCTTCATATATAAAGCGTGCTGGGGATTTTATTTGTCTATGTACTTTTAAACACTGACTTCTTCTGAATGGAATAATATCTTGCTTAGCTTAAATGTTCATGTATAACAAGTTTGGGGAAGGCAACATACTAAGATCAGGTATTTTATTTCTTTCCTGTTCAGTAGTTCAGCTTATCTTTCTGCTGTAGCACAGACCAAAGTTTAGTTTTTTCAGGGTTTATACAGAATTTAATTTCTGATAGAAGGAGAATGACACAATCTCTAATGGAAAATTTATGAACTAAATATCTATCTATCTATGAATGCATAACAGTTTACCTATAACCCTTGAAGTAACTGTGAACAATGTCAACAACAACTCTTTTAAGGGTTTTTCCCCAAGTTTTATTACTTATTACTTTTGCAAGTCTCAGTGCAAAATATAATTATGTGCACATACATACACTCCTCTAGGGTTCTTTTCTGGGAAATTTTACCCCTCTCACTCTCTGTAGAATGGTGTCCAAACCCTCTGTAGAGCATGAAAGCAAGCTCCTTAAAGTCCGGGAAACAAGTGATAGTCCTTCAAACTCCCTTTGAGTCTCTGAAACAACAGTCTGCAATTTGCACAGCCTGCAGCAATTTTAGTTGCCTTCTTCTTCCCCAAATCTGGCAATCAATTTGACCCTGAGCACAAGAGCAAGATTCAACAGCTAAGCATCTAGGAACAAAGAATTCCAGGTACCACTTCAGAGCATTGTTCCATCTTGCCCGGTGTCCTGCCTCCAACTGTGGTCAATTCCTGATGCTTCAGAGGAAGGCAAAAAAAACCCAGAATGGATTTGGCGAATTGTGTATTGAAGGGGAATAAACTCCTTTCAGACCCCTACAGATGACCAACTGAAGCCAAGAAACATGAGATTTTATTATAGTCATTGTTTTAATATGACTGTGTCTTCGTTCCACACATGCTTGAGGACATCCAACTTATTGTGGACCACTTTGCCTATGCCTCAAAGTGCTTCAGTTTCACAATCAGCCTGAAAAAAGACAGCCAGCAGCAGACCACCAGTATCGCCAGCACCATGATCCTATCATCACAATTGACAACACACCCCTCAACTTGGTCAGAAAATTCTGCTACCTGGTGTGACAAAGTTCCTCCTCTACCTTGGTGGGTCCTGCGCTCATTGGCAGATTTTCTTGCCTCAGAGATTCATCATGTGGGTTGGGGAACAGCCCAGAGACCTTCCCCTCTGGAAGAACCCACAGTCCAGGTCAATTGGGAGGTTTGGGGGGAACCCAGGCCCGCCCTCTACTCCAGGTTCCAGCCCAGGGCCCTGTGGACTGCAGCTGTCTATAGTGCCTCCTGTAACAGCTGCATGACAGCTACAACTCCCTGGGCTACTTCCCCATGGCCTCCTCCAAACACCTTCCTTATTCTCACCACAGGACCTTCCTCCTGGTGTCTGATAACGCTTGTGCTCCTCAATCCTCCAGCAGCACACCCTCTCACTCTCAGCTCCTTGTACCTCTTGCTCCCAGCTCCTCACACTCACACCACAAACTGAAGTGAGCTCCTTTTAAAAGCCAGGTGCCCTGATTAGCCTGCCTTAATTGATTCTAGCAGCTTCTTCTTAATTGGCTCCAGGTGTCCTAATTAGCCTGCCTGCCTTAACTGGTTCTAGCAGGTTCCTGATTACTCTAGTGCAGCCCCTGCTCTGGTCACTCAGGGAACAGAAAACTACTCATCCAGTAAAAAGAACAGGAGTACTTGTGGCACCTTAGAGACTAACAAATTTATTAGAGCATAAGCTTTCGTGGGCTACAACCCACTTCTTCGGATGCATATAGAGTGAAACATTGAGGAGATATATATACACACATACAGAGAGCATGAACAGGTGGGAGTTGTCTTACCAACTCTGAGAGGCCAATTAAGTAAGAGAAAAAAAAACTTTTGAAGTGATAATCAAGATAGCCCAGTACAGACAGTTTGATAAGAAGCAAGTGTGAGAGTACTTACAAGAGGAGATAGATTCAATGTTTGTAATGGCTCAGCCATTCCCAATCCCTGTTTAACCCTGAGTTGATTGTGTCTAGTTTGCATATCAATTCCAGCTCAGCAGTCTCTCGTTGGAGTCTGTTTTTGAAGTTTTTCTGTTTTAAGATAGCCACTCGCAGGTCTGTCATAGAATGGCCAGACAGGTTAAAGTGTTCTCCCACTGGTTTTTGAGTATTATGATTCCTGATGTCAGATTTGTGTCCATTAATTCTTTTGCGTAGAGACTGTCCGGTTTGGCCAATGTACATGCCCCTCTGCCAGATCCCTGGCATTGAGAGCATGCTCATCAGGGCTCAACTTTGTTGGGTCGGACATGTAGTCTACATGGAGGTTTCCTGTATGCAAAAGTGGTGCTCTACAGTCAGCTGAGCACAGGAAACCACTCTAAGGGTTGACCCATCCTCAGATATAAAGACTCTTTGAAGGCCAATCTCAATGCATGCAAGATAGACATTAAAACCTGGGAACTCATTGCACTGGAGAGACCCAGATGGAGAGGTCTATGCCATGAGGCCGTGTCTACTTTTGAAGAGTGGTGTGTGAGGTCTCTGCAGGAGAAGAGAGCATGTCATAAGTCCAATGCCTCAAGCTCTCCCCCCAATGACTACACTTGCAAGACATGCAACCACATTTGCAAATCCAGGATTGGACTCATTTTCCACATGAGAAGCCATAAATAAACCCAGAACTCAAGTCAAAACTAGCTGAACACTCACCTGTTGAAGCGATGGAAGAATGTATCCATCCATTGTTTTAATGGTTAGCTGCAGGTGTTACGAGCACATTAAGGAGAAAACAGAGCTTACTCTTCAAGTGATGTACGTATGTGCATTCCACATGGGGCTACACATGTATACCATGCTCCCGAGTCCAGAAATTCTTCCAAGCAATGTCTGCTGGCCCGCACATGCTGTAGGTCTCCTCATCTTCCTGACTGAGCATATAAGAGACAGTGCAGGCCAACACTTCTCCAGTCCCTTCTTATCACTGCATGACCTGAGTTAGAATCCTATGACCTCTCATCCTTCAACTCTTTGTACCACGCGTAAAGACATTTGTAAATAGTTTATTTTTCTTAGCTTACTA